AGAAAAGCAAAAATAATGCTCAGAAATCTAAAATTATGAGCTTATATCGACCATTACAACCATATATATATATATATATACATATGAGGAGTTTATTTGCAAAAACAGATAACTCAGTGTTTATAAATTTTCTTAAATCATGTTTTTTTTGTTATTATTATTTAATCATATTAACTGGTATTCAGGACAAAAAAACATGATTTTTGAATGTTATTAGTTATCTGTTTTAGCAAATGACCTCTTCATATATAATATATATTTAAATAAACCAAATATCATGTGATATTAGATACTTACTTGGTTCTTTGTGCTCCTCTGGGCCAGATGAACCCTCTACTAACAGCCCAGACAAGCCAAAGAGCTTCTTCCCAGCATCCTCAGCTACCTTCAGGGTGTTTGGTGAACCAGTAGGAACATGAGCACCCCCAAAGTCAAAATCTTTTCCCTCCACATCTGTGTAGCGGAGGTGGGGTGATGCCGCTGGTTCCAGACAGCCCTTCAAGCACTTGGCAGGGAGGAAGGCAGACTGGTAAGCCCCTGCATCACGCTCCTCATGTGGGGAGGAGAACGGCCGGAAGGCCCCCACCGCTCCGTGGTTGAGCATACCCAGCGGTGAGCAGTCAAGATTGGGTGGGGCAAACTGTGGGTGAAGGTGGAGCAGAGGGGTGGGAAAGTCGCGAGTGGGAAAGCCTCCTTGCCGATGATACATGGAGGCAAAGGTGTACGAGCCGCTGGGGAACGGGAGGTGCATGTCCTTTTCCAAAGTGACCGGCACTCCAAACGGCCGAGGGGGCTGGCAGGGTACAGAGGCATCTCGTCCAGCCTCAGCTGTTGATGCCAAAACCATGAGGGCAGGGGAGGTCAGCGTGCTGGGCATGTAGGAGGAGTTATCCATCTTAAAGGCAGTCCGATGGAGGTCCATTTGAGCAATGAAGTGTCCACTCAAACTCAGTGTAATGTGATGAAGAGGCCTGAAGAGCACTTGACTCAATGCTTATAGACTTAAGTCTTACAGATCAGTCATTCTCTGACGGAAATCTGTTGAACAAAAAAAAATCCTAGTCAGAATTATGATCCCAAAAACACAACTTCTGGTGGACAAAAAAAGCAGTTATTTAAATAAACAGGCAGACATTCCTTAAAGTCTATATTTTCATGCAGTCATTTTCTTTCTTTAAAAAGCAAAAACATTTAGTAGCTAGAATAATTAGACCATAAATGAGTCCTTAAAGAAATACCTAATAGTGAGTGCAAGACGAACATTATTGTGTGAATTTAAACAACAAGGTGCTATTATCAGAAATCTGTCCTTTAATACAAACTTTATGTTAAACAAAGTTAAACAAAGGTTGAGCTAATTAATGAAATGCATTTTCATACAAATAAATAAATAAATCACTACATAAAATTATTAGTTAATTTATTCTTGTTTAGACTACCTGTCTCATGTATGGTGCTGGTGCTGCTGTTCTGCATTAATCTGCGTTTATCAATTCTAAACAGCTCTACACTTCCCTGTATGTTTTTCTTTATTATATGAAGCTAAACTTAATCTAAGCTCTATTATTAGTCTTAATTTTGTGTTTGGCAATCCCACTTTAAATATTTTAAGATTAATGATGCTAGTGAACTTTTTGTATTGCTAATTTAAATGGATAAAATATTTAACTAGACATTTTATAACAATTTTAATACTGAATATATTGTTTTAAATAACGAGCTATTTAAATACACTCTCGGTCATTTGGAAATAATTGCGTATCTAAAGACAACAACAATAGCTCAACAATAGCCCATCATATTAATTATTATTTGTAATAATAATAACAAAAATAACAATGATAATAAATCAATTCTAAATAATAAAAACTTTAAAACTTAATCCAAAAGTTAATTAATTATACATATGGAGCAATTCATTATTTGTGCCTGTCACTGTTTTTATAATACAAATAAAGTAAAAACCCTACAATTTTTACGAGTTTGTATAAGCGGTGTGAGTGATTGTCGTAAAAACGGTGAACAAACTTTTAAATATTACATTTAAGAGGTGATATCTGAAATCTGCTTTACACTAAATTCGCTATAGTAGCCTACCATTCGGTTGCTGCCAGATGTTACATTTAAACTTAAACTTTCTGATTTGAAGGTGTTATAAGTTGTTCAGGTCACAGGTGTTATTCCGTTCTTTGAAAGATGTAGGCTAATTATGCAGTTTTCACAAAAAAAGTATTATCATACAACTTTTCTTGAAAACATGATAAATTTGATGCATCTTACACTCAAAGTTTTAGTGCACTCCGGAAAAGTTAACTCATAATACTCAGCATGCGACAACTAAACGTAGCTAAATGATCCTTTAAAAACGAAACATCTAGCTTAACACAACAAGAAAGACTTGCGAAAACATATTGTCCAGCAAATATCACATTAGTAAAATATAGCAAAAAAAAAAAAAAACAGGACTTGTAGTACTCACAATACTTTAGTCAAACATCTTTATCTCAGTCGGACATCAAACAGTTATTTTATCCAAACTCGAACCCAGATGATGTCAGTCAAAAGAGTTCGCAAATGACTGAAAGAAAAAGCGCGAAAAGACGCCTTAGAAAAGCTTTTTTACGGTTTTGAAAAGAATCACGGCGGTTTAAAGAGCTGAGCTTTTTAGCGCGTGCCACCTCTGTGATGTAGATTATGTAGATGCGCGCGATGTGTCAACATCCGATCCGCGCGCACTTCTGTTAATGCTGGCGAGTCGCTCACTGTACTCGCTCTCTCTCTCTCTTCTCAGCCCGTCCCGCTCTGTTAACTTTAAATTTATCATCTTCTACCTCTCTGTCCGACTCGGATGTTTTGTCAAATGTAGATCTCCATCCCGCGCCTCTATAGGGAATGTCAATTTATCTGAAGCATATAAATGAACACCAAACATTTCCAATGCCTCAAACATACCATTTGTATGTGTATTAATTAGTACGGACTCAATATACTACCACGGGTGTCCATCTGCTGGTTAAACACCATATAGCACCTTTAGCGGGGCATTCAATTCACTTAATCTGCCATCCTTCAGAGAAAATTATTATATTACAAACAGTGCAAGTGTAAACAGTTGCTACCACAAATATAAAAATGTGACAAAATTTGGCTTATTGACTGTAAGGCAAATGCTTCTTCTTTTTCCTGTTATCAAATGTTCAGTTGTTGAACGATAAATTGAGAAAACGTTGCATCCATTTCAGTATCTGTTTTGAATCTCATTTGGCCTATTAATAGAATTATTATAGTGTAGTATTTTATTATATATAATACATGAATGCAGTCTTAAAGTCAACAGGCCAAAATGAATGCAATAAACAATTTGGCCAATGTAAACATATTTGAGCATAAATAAAAACAAACATACGCATACATTTACTGAAGACTTTGGCCATCCTGTCTCATAATGAGAAACTGTTCGTATAGAGAGCGAGAACACAAAATAAAGTTACTCCCTCATAAAGAACTAAGGTATTAGCTTGAGTAAATTAAATCACAGTTTAATAGAGGTTTCAGACCCGCTAATTAGGACTTCCAAGATCATTAACAAAGTCTTTTAAGTCTCTTGCTTCATAATCCAAGTCCTTAAATGAAAATAAACGATTAAATTTGTATGCTAGAAGGCATGTTTTTGAATATTGAGTCGTACTCTTCTTTTTGAAATTCATTTATTCAGTGGTGAATCAAATTATTTCAGTTAATTCTGCAAAGCCATGAACCTAATTGGAGTTTAATTGCTGTTTGTACGTTTTCGGGACAAGCAAGAGAGCAGCGTCTTCGGTCACAGGTAGATGCTTCAAATAATGTCACGCACTGGCAGAAAACTTTATATAAATTGCATATATAGTTCTGGAGGAGTTAGAAATAAAATGTTATTTTCTCTCTAAATATACATATATAGAGGAAGATATTGTTGGCAGACTCAGGATGGAGAACTGTATTAAGTGTCAAAGTGATGAGCTGTCTGCGCATATGCACTTACCATCTGTGCATATGTGTGCGTGTGAACCGAAGAACTCCCAACACAGGCAGAAGGCTTGAGTGTGACAAGGAATACAGCGAGACGCATTATGGTGTCCATCATTGATCGCTTCCTCCCAGGAGTCTTGGCGCCTGCTACCAGGAAACAAAAGGTTAAAATATGATACTCCCCTGTTCTCTCCCCCTCAGTGTCCCAGCAGCACCTCTGTTTACAAATTCACATCGCATTCTCTTTCACTCAGAGTATCCCGCAACCACATCTCCACAACAGAATGCAAACAATACGGTCTTAAAATCCAACATCATAGAGTATTTTCTAAACAAGAAATGCAACAGAAAAACTGTTTTTCTTTCCGTGTGGAAATAATTTCACATGCATAAGGGTTTCTAAAACGGACAAGGACATGCAGCAAATCCTCATGTCTTTTTGGTCAAGTCCAGGCCAGCACACAGAGCTTAGGGGGCTGAACAGGAGTCTATGGGCTGTGAAGTGAGTAACAGTGAAAGGCAATGACAGGCTGAGACCCTCAAACCCACTGCCTCCTCCTCCCTGCCTCCCTCTGTAAGCTCTGTCTCTTCTCGCCACAGGGCTGACATTGACATGACACTCCCAAAATAATGATCAACAAACACTCCTTGCCGAACGCAAACGGTCTTCTCCCTTCCTCACAGTGTCAGCAGTGATTAACAAAGACCACTGCGTCACTACAGACAGAAACACCTAACGATGGTCTGAATGTTGAAGGTGGAATGCTTTGAACAAATTCACACACCGTGATCAATTTTCTTATACTGGGCCGTTGTGTTCATACTGTTACCAGAAGCAAAAATACAGACTATATATTGCTTTATAACACAAACGTAGGAGAAGTGTGTGGGAAAAGTCATTATCCTCACCCGTATTCATGTCTTCAAAAGCCCTACAGACATACCAGGCCGCACTTCTGTTCTCTGACGTTACTGCATGTTACCTTTAGGACACAGAGAAGGAGAAAGAACGATATTACGTCCCTCCACAATTACCAAGCTAAGCGAATATTAAAATGTCTGGCTCCATCAGTCGAGGCTATCGTGATTGGTATTTTAACCTTTGACTATACAGTACAAAGGAACCAGCTCTTGGAACCAATATTGGAAGGACGGAATCTAATTCTGGAATGATCCTTAGTAATGAGGGGGCTGCCATGGGGGCTGGATAATGCATATATGAGATATTATTTTGGGGCTGAAAGTGTTGGGGCAGAGGGGGCTCTCCGAGAGTTGAATAATCACAGGCAATGAGGTGTAGCCTGTGTGATAGAAACACCTTACTGTCTTGCCCGAGGACAGCACTCTTAAATCAAACACAAATGATTTTTATCACATGCAAATACCCCTTAGGTTTTTTGTGCGTGTGTCGTGGGGCTTTATTTTCAAATTTTCAGTGCAGTGTAAATTTCTGTCTGTGACTTGAATGGACAGTTTGTCATTGAAGAGCTAAAAAAATAATCAAAGCTTAAAGGTGATGTAATATTTTCAATGTTAAATACTTGCTAACAAAACTTGCACTGTTTGAGCATCCTGACCAGTGTAACATACTGCTTCAACATTGGCTCAACCAATAGAGTGAGTTTGGAGAGACTTCCTGTTTGGCAGACCAATGGAAGACAGTAAAAAAATTGTTTTTAAAACACATTCTTTTTGCAGTTCCATTCTGTGTTGATTCTAACTATAACAAATAAAATGTGTTTTTGTTAACTAAAAATAAAGCCGAAATACAATATAAATATTTGATGAAAAACTACAACTTAAATAAAAAAACAAGCAGTAAATTAAATTAAATAAGTTGAAGGTAAAATTACTTTTTAAAAAATCTAAAACAGAAGTACAAATAAATAACAGCAAAACTGAAATAATTAAAAACTAATAAAAATACAAAAGTACATAACAAAACTACAAAAAATGACTCAGAAAT